ATATATATATCTGCACTTATTTTCCTGTTCTCATTCCAGAGAGTCTGCTGGACAGAGTGTCTTCGCATTCGTGACAGTGCTTTCAAACCATACTTTTTATAAAGTCTTTGGTAGATTCATCACAGCATCTCATTATGTCTTCTAGTATAGTCTTCATACAATACGGAGTATACGAAGTATTGTATAAAGACTATACTAGAGAGGGTACAATAATTGCTAAATACGCATTTTGAGCCTTTTTTTGCTTTAAAATCGCCATCATCTTGGTAGATATGGGCGCGATTTCTGCGAGAAGCTGCTGAAGCATATGCTCACTCTTGTGTTAAATGCAATGAAGCCCACGTCTTGGCTTATCCATTGGCAGGTACAGTCTCTCCAAACCTGAAGATTGGCTGTGAATTTCGTATCCATTTAGTAACTGCCTGATATCATAGTCATTACTTGAAAAGCCTTTGGTTCCAGTTTTAGCACCCCAATAAAATAGTTTATTAAACCTATGGCGTGCTCATGCATTGCTTTGATAAAGTTCTTGCCATTTAGTGCACTGCTAATCGCTCACTTCTCACTAAAATAAATCTCTTCTCGGACTTTATCGTAGCTTTCATGTGTGGTTGCACTAGTCTTGTCTTTTACTATTCCAAGTTACTTATAGCCTTCAAATACCGATGTATGCGTGGATAAGGCATGGAGACCTCGATGTTACTGGCTGATTTACCTTGATTTACTTATAATCCTAAACACCAAAAGACCTTTGAACTTCTTCAGGCATAAATTTCATGATATCCTAGCAAAGATCTTAAAATCATCCACAAACAATACATGGTTCGTTATGTGTATTCTCTGATCGGTTAAAACCGTCATCCTCAACGTGCTTATGTACAAGGCTAATAGCATCGGAGAATAGCTCTCATCTTGGAGAATTCCTCGCTGTATTTTCTTTTCCCTTATGGTTACTCTAGTGTTTTTCAATGCAACTGACTACCTGGAGGTGATCTTTCTCAGCATACAATTAATTGGATACTCATGATTAAGAGAATTGACAGCTTATTTAATGTCATACTATACAGTATATAGCTGGTTTTCATGCTCTCTGCATACCACTGCCTTCTCTTTCTCCCCTTGAACCTAGCCAACAGTTTCTAATTGGTTATCTGTAAGTAGTCTTCTCGTGGCAATATTCAACAGCATGGCAGTTGCCATACATTTCCATTGCCAACTTTTAAAGGTTTGACATACTGGTTGTTGGCCTGAAATTGTACCTTTGTTTTGGGACGCGTTTGAAATCAGGTAACTAGTTCTTTTGTAAGACCATAAGTCCTATTCCTTCCTATCCAGGCAAATACGCCTTATTATTGTCTATATATCTGCACTTTTTAATGAAGTGCACCTTCTACATCAGTGCCCGCCGCTTTTTACTTGGGCACATAGGTAGTAATCTTCACGAATTCGGCTTGGGATGCAAGTATCCTTTACTTTATATTCTGCATTCTCTGTACCAGAAATCATCGTCTTCTCTACTTTCAAATTCCAGATCGTAGCCCCAAATTTTACAGCATCATTGTGCTACCTTGGAATTGCTTTGCAAGGTTAGTCATTGATTTTGTATGACATATTGACTCGCTGCTTAGTTTACCGCTCCAAATGTCAACATTTTCCGAGATTACTTTCCACATCCATTTTGTCTGGTCTATCTTACATCCCCAGACCTCTTGCATCAGTACAACAAGAGGTTGCATGAGCATTATCATTATGGTCCATTGCTTCTTTTCGCTTCTTGGAAGTCGCCTTTGAAGTGAAAGGTTCTTCAAAAGCGCGTTGCCAGCCATTACATAACTAACCTGTTTGTTTTTCGAAACTTTCCGTCTTATTGCTACCATTTCTACCATTCTAGCATTTTTGATTTTCAAAGCAGTGCTTTTGTTTTGTGACTCGCATTGGTGTTTTGTAATTTACTTGCATAGTAGCGTTATAGTGCCTGCATAAAAATAGAGCATAAATAGAAGCAGAAACCAAAAAAAGCAAAAAAATGATATGCGACTTCCAAGATTAAGCTCATATTTATTTATTTATATAATTTTTTATTTTTTTGTACTTGAGTGTACCGAGCTGCTTCCAAGCTGCTATATGTGAACACCAAGAACAAGAATGCAAAGATTAATTTTGTTGAATGCATGTAATTTTTTCGAATAATAGTTTTATTCTAGAAATTATTCCTGTATTAAGCATTAAATGCTTTAAAATTCTACAATAATATAATAATGAGTGGTTTACACATTGTTCATCTGAGATAATTTTCTGTAGACTTAAATCTTTCAGTCAGTTTTAGAGCAAAATTTACCTCCAATATTTCACAAAAAATTTGTGAATGCTTCTATTAAAAGAATTTTAGAGGGGGAATTATAATTTATAAAAACTTGCCAAAAATCCTTTAAGTCATAGAAAAAAAAGATGGCTCTAAAATAAATAAAAGATGCCAAGACATACTCCCATCAGTTCATTTTTTGTGGCTTTAGAAATAGCCAATTTTCACGACCAATGTTTAAAATTCGATTTTTTTTCAAAGTCTCATTTTAGTAGTGCACTGCTAAAATAATAAATACTGTATATCTTTTAAAAATTTGCTAATTTTTGAAATAAGATATACAGTATTGTTACAATATTTCATATTTTTAATAATCTCCAACTTGTGATCCAAATTTGTAACACCTTTTTATATTTCTTTTATTATGAACATTCGTAAATTGATTATGTTTGAGTTATAGAGAAAAAAGTTTTTGAAATACCTAAGCAAGATAAAGTAAACGAAATGTGCACTAATTTCATAAAGTTCTTTTTTATATGAAAATTAAAATTAAATATGCATTTAAGCATAGGTGTTACTCTTGTTTGATCACATAGAATTAGAATTTTTATCCTTACACTACTTTGTATATTAATGTTAAATGTTAGCTTTTCACTATTTTGCGCTGTTTCAAATCTTACTTTGCAAGGATAAGCTTTTTAATCACAACTTTTCTTTGATGATATTTGCTGATAAAAATATTAATTCAGGAAAACAGAGCATGAAATAGAGCAAAAACAAAATAACGTTTCTAAGTTTTGTTAGTGACCGCCAATTTCAATAAGAATTAACGATTGTATTAATTTTACTGCAGATCTATTTAGGCTATAAAATCGAGCATATTAATTTAACACAAACATGTTTTGATCTGAAGATATATAAAAATTAGTAGTTTTATAAATACTTTAAATTTAAAGTACGCAATATCATGATTATTCTGAATTATTATTAAATAAGCAGAAAAGTTATTACTCTTTTTTGTGTTATTTAAGCATGTACATTTTTAAACCGTTTGTTAATAGATAATTCCTTGTCTATTCCTTATTAATTTTCTTTTCTTATTTCAAATATTTTAATATTTTACACCAATTTCATTCCGTTACAATTTCTAATTTTTGAATATATGTTGCCAAGTTTAGATTTATTTTACTTTTCGAAAAAACTAGTATAAAAATGAAACTTTGCGTTGAAGTTTATTTTTGATATTATTAACATCTCTTTTTAAAATGAGAAACTTTTCAACGCTAATATTTTCATTTTTTTCCTGCCAAATCTGACATGAAAGCATACGCTACTCAGCAACTATTGCAAAAACTCCTATGAAATTTTATGCATTGTCTAAAATTGTAATTTGTAGAATACATTTTGATATACACAACTTGATTCCTTTTTCAAACATATTTTATTACTGTCTTGTGATATTGAAAAGTATTCAGTTTTGAACTAACAATGATGTGAATAGTTTCAGCAAGAAAAAATTGGAAAAATTATTTTCATGCAGTGAAACTTATTAGTAAAATCTGAAATATACAGCTGTTCGTCAATATCTCTTGCTATTGCTGTGGAGAAAGATGCATAAAACATAAATTATTTGCTTTTGTTGCTTATTGTTTCCATGTATGATGCCAACAGAGCCACTTGATGAAAAGAAAATTTTACCAGAAGAAGAGAGCCGTTCTCAATTCTGGAAAGATGATGACAATGATCCGTATGCAGACTCACCGGATACAGAAATAGCATCTCTTTCTGAAACGACTCAGATGCCTTTTATGAGTTCAGAAAAACGTATAGAATCCCTACAATCCCGGTTATTTGTTCCAGCATCTAGTAGGGTATCGTTAGCTAAAACATTGGCCCATAAGAAATTGCGTAAGTATGCAAGTGAAACATGTTTTGCACCCGAACCCTCCAATTCAACAGATTTGTTATCAAAAAAGATATCAGAAAAAGAGGTTCCAGTGACTACAGTTGGTAAAAATAAAATTTTTTCAATACAACCGGTGTCAAGTACCGCTTGTGGTATGATACTTCATGATGGCTCACCACCATACTATCAACCCCACAAACGCGAAGATTCTGAAGGTGAAACAAGTGGTTCTGGTAGTGATGCTACTGTTGCTAGCACAACTGTAACACCAATTTTACGTAATAAATCACGCTATTCCCGTTCAAATTGGCGAAAGTCTGCCACGCATGTTTTTGGAACATCCGTTTCTTCTGATGCTTACAATACTCCAACATCAGCTACAATACTTTCCATGGATTCACTGCAACAACCTGGACTTGGCATGGTAGCTCGACGTGAAAACAGTCTCTTCATCATGGATGATGACAGCCTACATGAATTCGATGATGAAAAAGGTAACTTTATCAATGATTCCGTAAAAAGTATTAATTAATGTTTGCGTTTAATTACTAATTGCATATCAAAGTATCGTAATTTTATCTAATTTGCGTTGCTCAAAATGTGAATAATTTTCAATTTTGTCAATAATGACCAATTTTATACAATCAGTAGTAACCATTATTTTAAAGTTAAAAAAATGCTTCCCATGTGAGCTGAAATTACTGCTATAATTATCAGAGGTGTTACTACTTATTCCCTCTGTAATTACCAAAAAAAATCAGCTGAAGGAAGAAGCAATATTTTTTTGTTTTCAATAATGCATTATCTGCAGTTAATGATCAACTTGACATTTCAAAATTTTCTGTTCTGTCAACAAAAAAAACAAAATTTCCTATCGATAGCTATTAACTGTTCAGGTGCTAAATGATTGAAAAAAATTTTTATTGCTTTTCAGAGGAGTCAAATATATATACATTTATTGAAATAAAATGAAAATAATTGTCCAATTCTAAAATCTGAAAGGCCATTAACATTTTCATGACTTTTTATGCACTGAAATCTAACAGTTTCATGAAAGTTTGAATTAAAATAGTCTTATGAATAACGAATGGATAAGTCTATCAAAATGCTCAAAAAATACAACCAAACAAAACATGATTACTAATGAATTTTTTGACGTTGTTTTATTTCATCAAATTTAACAGAAAAAAAACTGACTAAATTAAATTTCACACTTGTAATAATGATACTTCATTTTGTAAAAAGCTATTTTATGTTTTTTATTGCTCACTGAAAAAACGTGAAGTCAAATCCAGTAAAAGACTAAAGTTTTCTGCAGACATTGAAGCAACTTCAATTACTTGGACAAAAAAAGTAATACTAAATTGATATTATAGAGAAGAAAAATAATTTTGGCCATCACAGATATTTTATTTATTTATCATTGTAATAATTTGCTAGTTTTAGAAAATAAAACGGAAAAGCTGACCTTTGCAGGTTTATATACAACACAACATGTTTTGCAGATGTTTTCGAAGTCTTCAGCTTTCTTATGCGTGTTAAAATATGAAGTGTAATTACTTTATGCCCAATATTTTAATAACAAATCTCTTTCACCAAATTTATTTTTATTACTTCTAGCGAACAAGTTTTAAAATTTTGGAACAAAAAATTGAGTTTAGTTTTAATTCAGATTATACTTGTATTATTATAATTAGTGCTGGTTCGTCGTACTTGTTGCTTAAAATTCACACATTAAGTAGTCTTATTTTGCTTTTTGATAATAATAATAAATATGGGACTGCTTGAAAGTAAACTTTTCTCATTGAACAAAATCATTTGACCAAGTCAGAACAATTTAAAACTTTCCATGTTTTTTTAACAAACTTTAATTGCATTCAGTGAACAGCTAAACAATTACTTCGATTCATTTTACTGAAAATATATCAGCCTCAATTTAAATAACAAGTATTTGTGCAAGATTTAAAAATCTTCTACCGAGTCTGGGATTATTTATCTCTCGATAGATTTTTGACACTAGAGTTGATATATTCTAAATAATCAGATTTCATTTATATTTTAAATTGATACTATTTAATCACTAAAATTTAATAAGGATTTTTTATCTCATCATACTATTAAATTTGTTAAAAAATTAAATTAGTTAAATTCTGCGCTAAAAGTTGGTAGATATACAAGTTTTGTCTTAAAATGATGCTAAAAATTTGAAATAATTATGCAGTAGATCAAATAATAACAAACTAGAAACTAATTTATGTGGACATTATAAAGACTTTTTTAAAATAAATAAATATTAAGATTAAAGGACTATACGCCATAATTACACTATAAATCTAATTAAAGGTGTAGCATTATTTTTTTCACTTTTTCTCAGCTATATTTTTGATAAATCGCTTTATAAATTAAAATTAATAACATATAGCATTTACAAAATACAAAGTGAAGGAAATTTTTGAAGTTATTTTTGCTTACTTTAAGTTTTTCACATTGGGCCATTCCATTTGCTGTAATATGAAAAACTAATTATTACAGAGACATGCTTCAAATCTTTAAAATTCAAAATTTTTGACATTTTTCCTCAAACTCAACTTTTTGTTCTTTCAAAATCAGTACATACATATATTGCACTTTTATTTTTCACTATTTGTGAACTGCTTGAAATGTTCGAACAATTGTTCAAACTTATATTTATGTAACGTTTCGTTCTATCTAAACGAAAATAGTTACTAATTTAAATGACAAAACGTTGGACTTTTACTGACTTTTATTTATTATTCAGACAAAAAAATAGCACATACTTAATAAAATATTATAATAGTTGAGATAAAACTTGAAAAATGAAAATGAATAAGTGAGTGTCTCTATTCCAATTTAATATTAATGATATTTATATTAATAAATTGATTATTCATTTGATTTGTATTATTAATGAATAGTATTAATTTGTTCATAAATAATGCAAAATATAAACGATAGATTTTTCTGGCCGGTATTTTTTTCCTTTTTTTGTTTATTTCTATTAATTCAATGTCTATTTTCTTGAGTTTACCCATTAATTTATCAAAATGTTGTCAGTGCTAATAGTTTAGTAGAAATGTGCATAATTATGAAAGTAATTTTGGATTTGTTGCAATGCTGAATAAAAATTAGACAAAATAAATATACTCCACATAAAAATTTTATAACATAAGCATTAATTTTTTTTTTAAAAAAAAAGTACTATTCATCATATTACTTATTATTTTAAGAATTAATTTTATTTCTTAAATCAAGAAAATAAATTAAAGGTAAGTTTGTTCTATTTAAATAAATAAAAGTTGCTAATTTGGAATGCTTTTTTTATGGATGACAGAGAAATACATCACATTTGTTGATAAGTATATGGAAAGAGCTAAATACGAATGTACTATTACACAGATGCTTACAATAATGAGTCTGTACATTTTACAGGTTATAATTTGATCATATTGGTGTCAAGTAAGCTATTCTAGCATTTGGGAACCAGTAAAATAAATAATATATTATTACCATTTTCATAATTGAAATTTATTATTAGTTTGAGTTTGTATTATTTTCACATCATTTCTTCAGCTACTATTAATTGACAAATATTCTATCTAATGCCTGAAGCAAAAAATTCTATAACAATGAAATTTCAAAAATAATAAACTTCTTTAACAGTGCTCAAGAAAATATAAATTATAAAAGCACGATCAACAAAAGAGATTCAGAAAAGTTTTGGAAAATAACGCTTTTCATGACACTAAATACTGATTTTGCTTGTGATCAATTAAGATTGAAAATATTTTAGTAAGATGATCAAGAGTTTGAGTGAACATAATTCAAAAATACGTGAAAAAAAAAACAGATTTTTTTGAAAACAACTTGAACAAGTAATTTTTACATGTCTAATTTCTTATTCATGTGAAATTTGAGCTTTTAGTGCTAAATATCACCAAAGGTTCAGAAATTATCAATCAGACATGCAATTTCGAAAAAGACTAATCCACTTAACACCGAACTTTCTTTTTTGTAATAATTTTAATTTTTTTCGAATTTTGTGTTACTTTATTGAATATAATAAGACATTTGTGATTTGTGTGTTTTATCGTTTTCTGTAATCGAAATTAACAAGCACTTCAAATAGTCTTACTGTTTTTTTGTTTTCGTTAATTTTCTATTAAAATGTGAAGATGAAAATTTCTTCAGTATTTCGCAGGCATTTGGTAAAACTCAAAAAGTGCTCTTATACGTTCATGATATTATTTAATACTCTAAAATTAAATGTATTAGAAGTATTTATTTCATGGTATTAGAAGTATCACGATGTAGAAGAAGATGAATCACGTTAAAACTGCGTTGTTTTTGAATAACAGGATGAAGCTTGAAGTAATAATAAATATCCTGCGAGTTGAGTTATTATATGAAGCTATTTGCACCACAAGTATATTAAATAATTTTATTTGTGATGAATTACTAATAATCAGTCTCATGAATATGTTTTTGAATCACTAGTAAGAAACTGCAATATCATTTTAAAACTTTTAAAAGGTTTTATTTTGTTTATTAACTTTTATTTTTATTTTCCGCCTTATTTTTTTGTCATTCTACTATGGGTTTCTGTAAATCAGTGAGAATCCGTCAGTAAATTATTTCGTTTTTTTTGTTATTATGTTGTGAAGACTGCATTCGTAGTATCTGGTAAAGCGGAATCATTCATACAAACTTTGTCCTCGTATAGTGCTCCTCAGATGCTGATGGGAGAAGTCTTGATTAGAAAGTTTACTGATATTGTAGAAACTTGATCCACACTTGGGTATGTGCAGTTCGCAGAGTGCGCAAGTCCAGGTGAATAGTACTTGGTTTAAACGCACGCAACGCTCATTAAGTTGCTTTTGCTGCAGAAGCCTGGTCGAATGTAAGTTTTTCGTCAATATTTATAATCTTTTTGAATAACTAATAGATCTTATTTTTTGTAATAATTTTGTGCAAATTTTTGGAACAATTAAATAATAATACTTTATGCAAATCTTTTCACCACATTTGAATTATTTTTTATATTTTATTAAATTTACTCATGGGTTTAAAAAAAAGAGCTTTTATTGTCCTTCACAGCATTATTTGTTTCATTTATGTATTGAAAAGTATTCAGAACTCTAATTAAAAGTAGTAATCAACTTTAGTTTTTGAGGAAAGAAATTTAATCAAAGATTGTAAGTAATACTTAAGATAATCATCGAAAAAGTTGGGAAAAATAATTTTCACCTTCTAACTTTACAATATTTGTCATTTTACGGTTTAAATGAAGTTTTTTTTTGACATTCATAATACAATTAAGATGTTTTTTTAACCCATATTATATGCATACAGTAAATAAGTCCATGATAAACAGTTATCTCGAAAATCCTTCTTTAGTCAATAATTTGATTCTTACTTTTACTACTTGCATTCAGTTTTATTAATAAGAAAGCTGTTGTTAAACAACTGAACAAACAAAGAAAAATCATATTATTTCATGTATAATAGCAAAAACTCAATATTATGCGTAAAATTGTGAAAGTTATTCAATTTTCAGGCTTGTGTACATTTGCTTTAGTAACAATTTTGAAATATATTCAAGTTTTGGGATGTGTTTTTAATCAGATGCAATTGGATAACATTTCAGTAAATTCTTGCTTTATATCATCATTTTCACTGATAGAAAAGAATTTGCAAAAATGATGTCTTGCAGTGAAATTAAGTTTTTAAGTTGTCAGTTTGCTTCAAGCACAGTTACTAAATCTATACCAGTTAAATAAATGAATAACTGACGCAAAAGTATTAGCAAAAGCAATGACTGTCTTGCCTGATTATTTCTATAACTTGAATTTAACTGCCAAAAAAGTAATATTCTGTGAAGAAATTGCTTTTAGCATTCATTATAACATTTTGTATCTTTTTATAACGATCAAATTATCACACTTTTACTGTTATACTTCAAAATCTTTAGTACACAAAATGTTTATTATTTCCATATATAATTTAAACTTGTCAATTGCAAAATTATCTTACACTTTTTGTTTTAAGATATTTTCAAGGAAAATTTTCAACATTCCTACACTAAAAACAATTGAGTTTTAAGTCGTTTATTGAACCAGAGGTATCCAAAATTTGAAATTTGCTGTTTATTTTGATAACAAGTTCATTTTTGACAAAACTGCAAAGTTAAAGCAGAAAACTTCTACAAACTTACATGTTTTTGCATTATTCAATACAATAGAGCAAATTTATTTATTATTGTCAGTCTGAAATGCAACCGCTACAGTTTTAAAAATGAAGTGCAATGATAAATATTCTTTATTTATTCTTTCATAAAATCAACTGCAAACTATGAGAGTTTAGAATTTTAAATAAAACATGCGGTAATAAAATCTTTTCGATATTTTGGGATATATTTTTGAAATAGATGTAGATTTGAATTGCCAAAAGTTAACCAAGCATATCAAAATTAGCCATAAGTTTTCAAAGTTAACTAAGCATAGCAAAAGCCTCGAATTATTTTTGTGCTATTGCGAGACTACAAATAAATGTAAAACAGTGTTAGATTACGTGAGAGCTAAAGCAGAGCTTGTATATCTAAAGTAATTCAATTCAGACTGAGTAAAAAAAAATAATCAAACGAGGATTTTTTTTTTTCAGATTTATCTCATCTTTATTATATTATTATTCCGCAAACATTAAAAATTATTTTCGGTTTTCCTCTAACGAATTCAAAAATTTTTCACTTTCTAACAAATATGCAAAAATAGTCTAATAAATGAAAGCAGCACTTTTTTCAGCATAATAAACTTATAATTTTTCGTTTTATTGACTTTTTTATTTGAACACTAAAGGATATTCATATTAGAATTTTCATAATTAAATAATTTCATATGCATAGTGACTTGATGATTTTCCATATTTTTAAAAGAATTTTTACATACAATGTCTTGAATGACTTTTATTTCACTAAAAAATCTCATTTAACTAACTATTGAAATATTTAAACACATCAAAAACGCATTGATTTAATATAAAATTTCAAAATTGAGATTAATTAAGAGCGTAATGCAATAAATTTTCGTAAAACAATTTATGCGATTAAAGCAAATAATCGAATAAACAGCGTTACTTATTGTTTTAAAGCAAAACCAGTGCATGTCAAAAGGAGTTAGACTGGTATGCAAGGAAAAGAATTGCTAAATTGACTTATAATTATTTATTTCCTATCCATTGACTGATTTTATGAGCTTATTTTTGAATATATCAGTTTAAATAAAATGTGGATCTAAACCTTTTTCAATAATAGCAGAAATTAATCATCGTGTGAGACGAAATGATAAGTACTTTGGAAGAAATATTCTTTCTGATTCAATTTTTAGACATCAACTATTACCTAATAAAGACAAAAAGCTGTGTAGCCAACTCAATAATTTTCCATTTTTGTTTTTTGCAATGCAAGAAGTAAAATTTTTATTAAAACTGTATCAAAAAAATTGATTAAATGTCAAAATGATGCACTTTTGCAATAATGATAAGTAAAGTAAAGTCAGTACTGGCCAAGAAAAGTATATTACAACTATTGATAAGTCAGTCAATTTATAAATGAAGAGAAAATTTATGATTTCAAAGCAAGTTTGTTACACTTTGAGCAGTTATTTTTCATCTTTGTCATTTCTTCTGCATGCAACATATAATTTGTGCAAAAAATTATCGCAAATGAACAACTTTATTCATTTCAAATTTTTACTAGCCCTGAATTATTTTGCTTATTTTTCTTCTTCAGTCAACAGCAAATCATTTTTGGTATCTACGAATAGTAGCAGCAAAAAAATTTCAACAATAAATTTTATCTTATAAAATATTTTTTAAGTAATAATACTTTGTGTCTTTTCTAAATTAATTCAGCTAATCTTAAATTTCAACGATTATTTGTAATGATAAAATGAAATGTTCATTAATAATTTTTTTGACATATTACAACTTTAATATTCATCTTACTTGACTAATATGCCAAATTGATGGATTTTTATTGCTTCAAATTTGGTCTTAATAATTGATTTATTATATTTTATTTTTATTTGTTAGCACTGAAAAGAAGTAAATTTTCAACTAGCCATCATCATCTATAGTTTATTGCTAAGAAATAAAACGACTAATAATAGCAATAATGTATGTAATTGCAAAAATCATGTAGTAACTAAATGAGTGATGGTTTCAATTTTGATAAATCTGAAGATAAGTAAGTAAGCAAGCAAACGAGAGGGTGGTTGAGTGGATAAGTTATGTATTTTTTTTTTTCAAGACTAAATCTGCTTTTTTGCAATCACAAATTTCGTCGCAAATCATTTGCTACCAAGCATAAGCATGCTTATCTTTCCAAGGTTGTTTTCATCACTGTTCACTTCAGCCTACCATTGCTTTCAGCTAACAAACTAAGCTTTAGTCCTGAAACATATCTCAGAATTTCTTAGATTCTGACTGTTTTCATTTCTAGCATACATAAGTAGAGTTCATTTGACGATTTCTCATTTATCACATTGCATCATATTTTCTTTTTTAGCAATACTCTTTGGCAAGCTTTGCCAACTTTGTCAAATTCTTCTTTTGGTTTACTCTTTCTTATGCTCTTTTTTTCTACTCCTGCATGCAAAAAAAAGTTAAAAGTGAGCACATAGAGAACGAAGAACACTTTTATCGCTTTATTTTGCCCAAAACGTTCAACAAATCATCCGAACTCAAATTTTTGCATTTTGCTTTGCTTTCCATTCTTCCTAAGCTTTATTCTTTTCTACTGCTGCTGCTGCCGCTGCTGCAGAAAATAAAAATATGTTTCGTAGCTTTTCTTGTAAAACATTTGGAAGTAATCAACAATACTATCATCTTAAAAATACTTCCAGAACTTTATGTCAAAAAAATTTGCATTTTTTCTGCGAAAATTTAAAATTATAAGGGAAAATTTTTAAACAAGAAGAAAAACTTTCTACTTATTAACAACTTTTTTATTCATGTTTGTATTTTTTTTTGTTTTTTTTGTTTTGCTTTTTTGTTTGTTTTTCTTTTTGGCTTAAAAAGGTATATGATTATTAATAGCTGATTTCATTTCATTCCATTACTACTTCTACTAACTTATTACAAACTGAATATATTACTAGATTCATTTGGAAAAAACAGTACTGGTAACATCTGTATCAAAAACAACTATCCATGCAATATTTTCCAGTTCGTGGGAAGGATAAAGTTAGCGTTAAAAATTAATTAGCAGCTTTGAAAATTAAAGTAAATAATAAGCAGTCTTTTGGTGAACTTTAAGTAATTTCAAGTTCGAAGGCCAAAAAAAGAGGAATGCTAGGAAAAGAGAAAGAATCACATTGAATTAAAATGTTAGGAATCAAAACAAAAGCACAAAATATCGTGCAATCAGCTGTTTTTCAATGTCACTTAATTATACTCTCGATATGACAACACTATTTGAAGTGAAAATGAACTGATGCTAGTGAAGCCTGCTACTATGCTCTATGTTCCGGAACACCGAGAAAATCCAGTTGAAGGGGATAATTCTGTGCATTGCATTTCACCTATGTTGCCATCTGTGAAATCAGAATCAAACCAGAATCTCAAAATATCTTCAGCAGCATCTGTTTGTTCTCGACGTCCTTCAGCAATTAGTCAAACTATTCATATTGGTGCTCCAGTAATCGGTTTTCTCGGTCGCAAATGTTATTCCAAACGTCGCGGTTCACAACCAACTCTTACTCCCAATACTAATAAAACAGCAAATGATTTAGCACTACATTCTCGAATTACTACTAGTCATGCTCATCAAGTTCAAAAGATATCCCCAGTTGAAGAAAGGCAATCAAGCAAGATAATTCGTCTCACGATTCCTTCAGCGAATATAGCACCGGATCAAAATTCACAATGTTTCACGAAACGTGTTAGTTGGTTATCTATGAAGAATTTTCGAGAACCAGAATCACTGATTGGCATTGATGTGACAAATAATAAACGGAACCGCAGACAATCAGCTATATTTGATTCGGGTAGTGAATCTTTAGGAAGATTTGGTTCTCGAATAAGCAATCAGTTTGGTTCAGTTCTTCAGTTAGATGATGGAAGTCTGCTAGATAGGGAAACTGACTCTCTGCCTTTGGATTCTTTTAGCTGGAGTAATTCAGGTTTGTAAATTGGTAGTACTGCCAAAAATTTTGCAATAAATCAATCTTCATGATTAATTTTATTTGTGCATAATTTAATTTTCATACATTTTTTAAAATCAGCTAATTATATCATGATTGTTATGAAAATATCAAGCATTTTCATTCAAAACTTTGCATTCATGCTTTATCTGAGGTCAATATCGAGCTTGAACTTTTATCTTTCATTCTAGCTTAATAAAGGAAGTGAATATGGAATAATTTTTAACTATCATATTGCTTGTATTCTATTAAATTTCTTGAATTCATAATGCATTGTGTAAATGGAAAGGCAAAAAAAATGATATTGTGATGGAAACATTTACCATATTAAAACAATTTTATTTCTTTAGCAAGTTAAGTTACTTAAAAAATTGGCATTTTTCACTTTCTCTATGCTCTTTTCAAAATAATAATTGAAAAAGCCATCTAAAAAAAATGAAAATTTTGTCTCAGCATAGCACTTAGAGATTAAAAAAATTGGCCAGTCTACGCTACCCGTCATTCGAATTTTCATTTTTCACATTTGGCACAATGAAAAAAATATTTTTGACTACAGCACTCTTTAATGCAAAATTTCTTGTCAAATATCAACAAATCAAATATTTTTTTATAAATTCTTACCATAATATCACTTGTTCAATTTTTAAAAATTTCAAGTACTAAGCTTAATTATTGATAAATTTATTTTCATACCTTTTAGTATAAATAATAAAGCAAATTATTACTTTTTTCTCATTTCTTGTATGCTTCATTAAATCATTCATTATGGTGATACTGCTAACCACGCTGTTTGCATCTCAGACTTATAATATTGTTTCATTCAAAGTATTAGTTAAGCAGAAAACCTGCAAAAATGAAGCACATAATTAATGAAATTTTGATAAAAATAAGCAAGAAGAAGCAAATTAAGTTCAAGTGAATCACTTTAATTTCAGTCAACTTCTACTACTGTTGAGAAGAAACGACATAATATAATGGATGAGTTAGCAAATATGCTTTTTTAGAAATGAAAAAGTTATAATTGCTTGACAGAATATTCGTCTCATGGGTTTTTTCAAGTTTTATAAAATATTATCGATATTCTTTTAATTCATTTTGAAAAAGTACAAATCACATTGATTTGAGAAGTTCAATTACAGAATCAACAAAGCTTTTGATAATGCTAAAAAATAACTCGCAAAAATTAATTGAAATACTTTGTAAATTATTTCAAAGTTTCAAAGTTGTTTAGTTTCCAATGTAATATTTTTAATTACGGAAATATGAAGAAATACTACTTTCTGTTATTGCACTTATTTCATTTTGAAAATCAACAATATACTACTGCTTGATTTTCACTACAGTATAAATTTTTGTCATAAATGTGCATTTACTTTTCATATGATTGTAACAGAAATTTTTATTTAAATTTAATATAAGACACAGGAAAAATAAAACTATGCCAAGATTAAATGGTTTAGTAATTTTAAAAATAGTTATTTTATGCCACAATAATTAATATACCATTGAAAAATGGAATGAAGGCAATTAGTCTGCTGGTTTAACTCGCTAATTTTTTGAAAAACTTGAGTAGATAAGAGTTAAGCTTTATAAATTGTAAACTTTATGAGCAGCTTCTTGTAAAAAACTTATTTCCTTTCAAAAAGTGCATAATCAGACACTTTTCTAAAGAAAATCTTTAGAATTCAAAAATGTCTAAAACTATTTAAAAAGGGCTAAAATTTTTTATGAATAAATTTAGTAATTCAAAACTCAGTTTACTTATCTTTTGAGTTAAAGTTGTGAGCTGTTAAAAAATTTGGCAAGAATAAATGAAAGCAGTTGGTTACAGATGAATATGATAATGTGACATTGATGTATGCAAAACATGAAAAAATTCCGATGAAGGATTTCGGATCAGAGATTCGAGCAACGATGGACATCGATCATTTACTCAATAAATCCGTTTTATTACTTGATTTGCAAGAAACTTCTCTAGAAGAAATTTTTGCAAAGTAAAGTGCTTTAAATCTTGAGGTTTAAGAAAATCAGAACGATTAATGCTTTTTTTTCTGAGGCAAAAAGCAAAGAAATTAGTTAATAAATAATACAAAATGCTGAATGATATTTGCAATTCAGATTTGCAAACAAGGTCATTTATTTAACTTTTTCATTATACATTTTTATTTATCATTACTAAATACACAATTTCGTTTTTTTTGCTGTAAAATTGTGAATTAATAAATTATAATGATCAATCATGGAGCAATAATATTTTGATAACTACTAAAGTAGTTATTTTTTTAAAAAGATTTAAGACTCTTAATACCTAAAATTTTATTGTTCAATCTAAAATAATAAATTTACTAGCTTTATCATAAGCTTGAAATTTCAGTTTCACTACTATTGGATATTTGATTCAATAAAAATTATTTCATCAAAATTTTAGAATAATTCATGAAATGGATATCCAAGAACCAGAATTCACCAGTGAACAAGTACGATCAGTGCTTTTTACTCAAGACTCAGGAAATCAGTGTAAGTTCTATTTCATTTCTTTACACTTCATTAACCTCGATGAAAGTTTTGAATTAATTTTCAACTGTTATTTGCTACTTTCTTTTATTTATTGTAGTTCACATATTAAGTCGAACAGTCCAAAGTATTTGCACGACAGGTACTGGTGGTAGTACATTCGATTATGATCAGTCATGGATTTGTGCTTTGTAAGTGTTGATATTTATTTCAAATTTTGGATTCTTGAATCGAATCCTTTTATTTAGTACTACTGCATGCAAGTATTCACTTTAAACTAATGTCATTTGCAAAAATTACAAGTTTTCAATGGTAAAGTTTTTTGTTATACATGCATCTTCCTCAACAATATTCTTAAAATTTGTAACATATGGTTTTAGCGTTCCAAGATTGGTATTTTTCTTTTAAAGAAAAATCCATAATCATTATCATATGTCAAATAATTATCGCGTTATAATAATGAAATAATTTTCTTGAAAAATATTAATCTTATAGTAATATTAAAGTACACAAAAAAATAAGAATGGAAAAAAAACGTCAGAAAATGAAGAATTTCTCATAGCTAATGATTAATAATTAGTGCAGAACAAAATATTTGGAATTCAAAAAATTTGAATTTACTTTGTTTATCTCTAAAACATATTACTGCTTATTTTGTAGGTATAGTTACTTTAAAAATTAATTACAGGTGTATGTTAAATACAGTTCAGCATAGGCATGTAGCTATCGCTCGACTCAGTCATCCAACCAATTTAGGTCGTACAATGCAAGATCTTCGTTTTATCATTATTGTCATTGCTCCATCACGCGCGGTATTCAAATTTGTATTTTTGCTGCAAAAGCTAATCTTCAATTATGTAAACTTTAAATATGCCCTTTCTGGAATATTGAAAGAATTGAATTAGAGAAGTACTAATAGATTAGCTAGAATCAAGTCATTCTATGCGAATTAGTCTTGAGGTAGACATTAACCAAAGTCAAGCTTTAGTAATGGACAGATAAATGTACATATACTTGAACTAATATTAACATAATTTATTTGATTTTTGTTGATCAGGCATAAGTCTAGAACTTTTTATTTAAGTTGCACGAAATAACAACTCCATATGCTATTTTATAATTTATAAACTGACAATGCAGAGCATAGCAGCTCTTTTTTTTAGACTTAGATTATTCGGTCAAAATTATTTCGTATCATTGGTTCATTGCTCAAATTACTGTTGCTTCTAAAGGTCAAAAAAATAGAATTAATCAAAAATAATTGTTTGTGAACTCAAATTCGGTCATACTGATACATATAAAAACAGTTTTGATTTCTTAACATTTGCTGATCAACATTTTAACAGATAAGTAAAATTAATTGTTCTCATACTGTACTTTTCATCAAATAAAAGGACTATAAGTACTGTGTTCAAATTTAGAAAGGAACTAAGACAGCACTTGAAACAACGCGAACTTTTGCGACTCTATTCGCAGATATGGATATAAGGCAACGATTGGTTATGGCACAAACTGTCGATCAATTTAGGTTATCATTACTATTATTAATATAAAGTGGCAAGTAAAAATACGAAAAACTTTGCCCATTAAATTTAATATTTTACTTCAATTTTAAACTTTCATAATTTTTCTGCTCTGCGTAAAAACAGACTATACAAGCAAACTTTTTAATTTCAAACTTAAAGTAATTATTTTGCAGTGTAACTTTTCATGATTTCACTTTTACTTTTTATCTCTTCTTAAAATATACATGAGGTAATGTAACTGAAAATTATATCATTTGTATTTTAGATCAACACTGCTATCAGCTGCAAAAGATTTGGCTGTTGATCAAAATCAGTGGAGAGAGAGGAAAACATCAATTCATTTTAGTCAAGCTAAAGAGCAGCTAGTTCGTTTTAGTTTTACATTTTCTTGCATATTGCATATTCTTTTTAATGAAAATTAAACTTTAAAAATCACAAAAAATTGGATCTCAAACAAGTTAGTAGTATTTTAGTTGACTTGTATGTTGCCGTATAGCACATTTTAAAGTGGTGATCAAAATCATAAAGTGATGAAAAAGTTTTTTCTGCAATGTTATAAAGAAATTCTAAGATTTTTCGAGCTGTGTGATTGAGAATACTCAGAATGTGCTATCGGAATATGCAAATAATTTCAGTTTGGCCCAGGGAAATGGTACCTTTTTCGAGGACTCAGTAATGATTTCTTTCGTCGAATCAAACATTATGGCTCAGATTATTTGGATGGTTAATACTTTTTCCAGTTGTTTGTATCATAATTTCAGTTGGTTATCAAAAATGATAAAAATAATGACTAACAAAATTATACCGATATTTACAAAATATATTCAGGGATACGTGGTTCGAAAACAATTCAAAAATTGTTTAGTTCTATAGTTTTCTTATATTTTGCATGCCTTCTACCTGCGATTGCTTTTGGTGTTCTGAACGATGATAACACAAATGGAAGCATTAGTCAGTTTCAATTATTTTTTTCTTGCATTTCATTATGCTTATAATTTTCACAGATAAAAGTATTCTGGCTTATCAAAGTAAAGTGGATTATGATTATTCTTGAACCCGAAAATACTAGTCATTCTTGCATAATCAATTCTGAATTTAAAGAAATGCATAAAAATCGGTTTTTTAGAATCATTCATCATAGAAAATACCCCTGAAATAGTAATATAATAAAGCTTTTTGCTATGTTGAAAAATTAGATTGAATTAGCGTTACAACAGATATCCCACGTCATTCTTTTGTGTTTCAGACGTACGTAAAGTGATTACTGCTCAAGCACTTGGTGGAATATTTTTCGCAATATTTGGTGGCCAGCCAATGATTATATTGCTCACTACAGTACCATTAGCAATATATATTAAAGGTGTACAAAATAAATTTTGCTTTCAACTTTATTTTCCAAACGCAAAATTTTAGAAAACTAATTCAGAACTCTGCATGCAAAAAAACATTTAAATGATAATTTAGGGATAAAAATTTAAAGTTTTGTCAAATTTGGTACGATTAAGTACTATACGTTAGATAACCTTTTATAGATGCTTATATTTCAAGTGATATTTTTAGTGATATACAAAATAGCAGAGGAACTTGGTTACGACTTTTTTGCAATGTATGCCTGTGTTGGATTATGGTGCCAATTTTTCCTTATTGTTTATGCATCAACTGAAATGTGCAGCTTGATGAAGTTAGCTACAAGGTTTATTTTACAAAATTTTGATATAAAGTAATATATATTAAAATGAAAGCTTCATACTTACGCATATATAATGAGTGTGTACTTGATCCCGTACATATTTTTGCATAAGAGTTTGACTAGCTTTCTGATCATCCATGGATTATTTAATTATATTATTCAATAAAAATTCAATCTTTTGTTTCTACAAATAGTATCATGAAAAATAATGCAAAAATAATAAATAGATAACATTGCATAAATTGATCAATTTTTTATATTTTAGATCTGCAGAAGAAATGTTTTCGCTTTTTATTGCAATTGCTTTTACAGTGGAAAGTATACGAGCGCTTCATACAAGTCAAATTTTTATTGCTGCTTTATTTAGCTTTTTTTTAATTTTGTTTTTTTTTCTTTTTTTCTTTACCAGAAGTTGTGTACATCACAGCAAATAAGTGAGTAATGAAGTGTGATGTGAAGCATAAAGATGATAAGTAAAAGCTAATTAATAATGTATTTGTCCTGCGAAATATCGAATGAAAGGTGAAAGGAAAATGTAAAGCATGGCAGGTCAGAGCAACTTAGATAGAGTAAGGTAGATCTTAGAAATACTTTTAAAAAATAAGATGAAATTAGTAGAAAGCTTTAAAAAGTCATCAGTAGTTCAAGAAACTCGCAAGCGTTCAGCAAATGTTGAATCTAACTTTTTACAGATTACAAATGTGTCGAGTTTGCTATTTAGAAAATATAGTACATCTCAAAATTATTCATATCTCTTTGTTGGGAATTGAAATAAATTTGTAGATTAGCTTTATCAAGATTATTCTTTAAATAAGAATAAGCATATTGTACAAATATCATGTTCTACTGATATTTTTCAAACTTCTCTCAGTGGGCTAACAAAGTTGAAAAATTAAAGAATTACTGTGACTTATAAGCCAAATTTATTTCCAAAAAGTCTGCATAATATTGTCGATAGTTTTAAGATAGTAATAAAAAATTACATAGAAATTTTACAAGATTTTTAAATTCAGTTACAGAAAGGGAAAAGTATAAATTAGCAAAGCTTTTTGAAAAATTATGTTTTAAAGTAATTGCTGTCAAATTTAAAATAAATATCCAACTGAGAAAAGCATAATCTCAAAATCTATATTATATGATTCAGTTCTTGTATTCATATATGAGAAGTTTATTCTTTCCAGTAAGAAATTTCGTTGAAGTTATTACTTGGATATAAAATTCATGCATGATGTAAGTAAAATGCTAAATTACTTTAAATAATCAGTAAACTTCATTCGCATCATTGAAAACATTACTTCAATAAAAAAATAGACATAATGTTAAGAGTCTTGATAACATATAGGTTGTATTAGCTTATCTTATGTAGGACATATGGTTAAAATCTCGATGAAATTCAAGATTTACATTGTGTAACGTAAATATTTCAGTGTGAAGAAGTTTTGAGTTACAGTAACTACTCCAATTACTAAAATATTAATCAAAAAAAGTGAAGTTGGCAAATTTTCTTCAGAAGAATTATCGATAAATTAAAAGCAAAAGAATTTCCCAGCAAAAATTTGCTGTAGGTACTTTTTCATTTCAAAATTCAAATTTAAAAAGGAACAAAATGATTGCCTGCAAAACGACTTTGTTGTAATATTTTTACCAACTCTTAAATACAACTTTAAAGTGTGACATTGCAACTCATCAACAAACAGCTTATTGCTTTGCCATGCAGGTTAAAAAATTATAAGGTTTTTCTAGCACTTTGGTATTAATTTTTTTTCAACATTATATTTTGGCCATATTTTTCATTAAAAAAAAAAACGTATGAAGGAATATTTGCAGGTTTTAACAAGAATTATCATAATTGCGATAGTAGCAATGAAAGGAAAAAGGGTAACGGTGAATCTGACGTTTTGTCTTCCTTCCGTCTCAATTCAACACCATTTGCTTCTGTTGTCAACAATATAGCTGAAACAAGTACACCATTACAGGTCATTTTTCATTTAATTTTAAAATCATTTTAGTTTATTTTTAAAAAAAATTTGCCTATTCTTTTAAGTGATTTGATTTATAGTCTTACTTACAGTCTTGCTACAATCATTCTAGTTTGTATAAAAATAAAATTTCTAAATTTTTGCAATCAGAAAAATGTTTATATAATATATATGTAAAATCACTGAAAGCAATACTGCTTATTATAAGCAATTTTTATATTCTTAGATGTACGAGAAGCCTTGTCATCGAGATACTTCAATTTTATATGTGCTACTTATGTTTGGTACATTGTGGCTAGGTCTTTTTTTGTACAATTTCAGGTAAATTGAACAAATCAAATATAATAGTCTATTATTGCTGAAATTTTTGTCTTCACTACAAAATTATATTTGAAAACTCTACTTTTTTTGCACAGAGATTCAAGTGAAATAATTTAGTCTAATTGATTGTTCATTCTTATTCGTCACTTTTTGAATTAACAATCTGAGACTGTGAGTTATTATTAATTTCATTTTCAACTAACATTCACTAATTACTTTTATTGCAAAAGTTGAACTTACAGGAAGACGCCTTATTTGACCCGATCGCGTCGTGAATGGCTTGCTGATTATGCGCTTCCTGCTTCAGTTCTCATTATGTCATTTACGGGTGCTTACTGCTTTTATGATATTGAAAGTTGGTGACAACTTTAATTTTTTTGTAATTTTTTTTTTCACAAAATAAAATACTTCCTTGTGACTTTGCATAAATTTAGCCTTAGCTTATAAGAATGCAATTTGCATTTGTTTTATTACATCAAAGTTCAAAATGTGAATTTACTGTCTTGCATTCAATTCATTTACTCATTGCATATTCTTTTTTTTCTGTGAAGGATTCGTTCTCTCAGTCGTTAGACAAAATTTTTACTAAGTTAATTAGCTAGTTAATTATTTTTTATTATGTCATAAGGACCTCTTTTCTAATATTCAAATTTCAGAAGACAAGTTTAAAATGCGCACTAACGTAGCTACATTTGCTATCGCACCAGTTTTTTCGTTACCTTGGCAAGGTTACTTTGTCTGCTTACTCCTTGGTTTCTCATTATCGTTTCTTTTCTTCATGGACCAAAATATCACCTCAGCTATTGTAAATAATCCACAAAATAAGTACGTTTGTTATCAAGTATTCTTAGGGATTTGTATGCTATTTTTCATTCCATGATATATTGAGAAATATCATAAGAAAATTGTCACTTGATATTTTAAATACATAATAATCAATTGTTTATTACTTTTGTAATTGGTGCACTAATTATTTATTGTAATTAGCAACATGAAATTTGTTCAAAGGATTAAATTAAAAAGTTATCTTTTACGATTCAGTCATTAAATTATCACTGCTCTATTTGAAATTTCGTGTTGCTAATTAAAAAATGAATTATTTTTTACTTTTTACTATTAAATGACAATATACGTTAATGAAAGAAATGTTTTTTTCAATTCAGATTAAAGAAAGGAGCAGCTCAGAACTTGGATTTGCTTGTAGTTGCAGTATTGAATTGTTTCTTGTCCATGATGGGTTTACCGTGGATGCATGGCGCATTACCGCATTCCCCTTTACATCTGCGAGCATTAGCTGACGTAGAAGAACGTGTACTCCAAGGGCATGTCCATGAAGTGTTCGTCTTACTCTAGTTTCATTTTTACGGACATTTAAAATTACACTTAACCAATTTCCATATAAGTCAAATGAAACTGCTTATCAAACTGTGGATGCTGGTTAATAAGTAATTTTATTTGTTGCTAAGCGTATTGATACTTGAATTTGGACATATTTTATACACGCAATTTTTACAGAACATTTTTCTTCATAAATTACATTGCCATCTGTTTGTTAAAATGGAAATAAAAAGTAAGCAAAAAATAGTTATTGCTTTATATGTATTATGGGCAGATTTGCTGCTTTAAAAGATATAATTATTCCTTCTAGGATAATGAACGTACGTGAGACAAGGCTAGCCTCGCTAATAGCACACTTATTAATATTAATTTCAACATTCACGTTATTGCCATATCCTTTACGGTGGATACCAACTTCCGTCTTGCACGGATTATTTTTGTATATGGCGCTTACCTCGTTGGCTGGTAATGAAATGTTCGAACGATTATTATTACTCATTACCGAACAGGCAATACATTTAGTGCATTATTTTGAAAAAGTTGCAACAATGAATGTGTATTTTATTTCAATATTTTACTAATGTAAAATTAATTTATCAAAGTCGATGCAATTTTATTTGAAAGTAATACAATTTTGCCGCCAAAAATTTGATCAAAAATAAAAGTTTTGTAAAATAAAATTTTTTGTTATTTTAAAATAAAAAGCAATGCACAAACATTTATCAAAAAAATACTTATATTGAGGGGAAAAAAAATTAGCAAAGTTCTTTCTTTATGAATGCAATTGTTACAACAAGTAATAACAAATTCAAATTCTATTCCCATATTATTGCAGATTAAGTGGATTAAATTCAGCAAGTTTTGTTTCAGCAAGCTTATCCACCAACTCATTACATCAGGAAAGTTCCTCAGCGAAAAGTACATTTATTTACTGCCTGTCAACTTGTGCAGCTTTTATTACTTTGCGCATTTGGATTTTCACCTTATCCATTTATTGAAATGATTTTTCCTATAGTCTGTTTCTTCTTTCTACCTATCAGGTAATTTGACAATAACATTTTTTTCATGCTTTTTTTAATTATTAAAAATTTAACATTTATCATATATATGATAAAATTGATAAGATTTACTTAGATATCTATAAAGATGAGTAATACATTGCAGACATACATTGATACCACGATTAATTGATTATAAATATTTGGATGCATTGGATGGAAGACATTAGACTATATGATCACCATAAAATTATGTTATTGATTAAATTTTAAATTGTTCATTTATTATAACATTTTGATGATTCATTTTTTCGTTGCATTGTATATCTCATCTGCTGTATTCAAAATGCAATTTATTGACTGTTTAATTTTAATCGTTAAATTCATTCTGAAATTTGAAAATTTGAAAGTTTTTATCAAATTAGAAGATATACCTCGAAGATTTTGCCAACATAAGTTACACTTTAAAAATATGCAAGCCTTATGTTCAAAATAGCAATTAAGAATAAAATTATTTCAAAAAAATTTACCATTAAAGTTATTGAGCATAATGTATTTGCTAAACACTAACATTATTTATGAATGCAATTGTCACCAAAAGAAAAAATAAGTTACCATAGTAAATATCCATCTGTTAAAGCTGAGCAAATAATGTTTTTCCTATTCAGTTTTCCATTCACGTGTTATTTTCCGTTTAGTTTATTATACAAAATGTGAATCTTAGCATAAGAGGATCAAGTAATGTGATAAAAAAAACCATGATTACGATGATGATACAATTATATTTCAGGTTTTAAAGCAAAAAATAAAAAAACACTTTTTATTCACATTGATACCGGAATTTTGAATATAACAAAATTGAATAACAAACTAGTATCAAATTCGAAAGTTCAATGACAAGACATTTCATTTATAACGGTATGCTAACCGTACTTTCAACAATAAAGCATGTCTTGAAGCGGATTTAACTGATAGAGTTGGGATATTCTTTCTATAAGATCAAGTTCAAACTATAAAAAATATAAGTATTGGTCGCAGCGTACATTTCGTTCATATTCAAAATTATCTAAGAAATTATCCCGTTCAACAGACAAAAAGCACAAAGTAGTTTTATTCAAAATTTTCACTCTTACCAGCTGGAATATTTATAATTTATCATATCTTACCTCAGCTTTTCAGTTAACTTCGAAATTTTACGGCATCTTACAGATTAAAACTCTTGTATAAACAAAAAATTGCATAAACTTTTCGTTATCTGATTGAAAATTATTCATTTTATGCAAATTTAGTAATTATAACATGCAAAATATGTGGTTCAACATATAATCAGTATTTCTGAACAGCAATTTGGAATTTGCATAAATCTATTTTTACATTTAAAAGTAGTCATTCAATAACGCAGTCAAAAATTATTTTGACACATTCACTTTGCTTCCTTTTAGCTTTGAGGTTCGCTCATGTTTCGTTGTATTAGTAATAATTATTATTAATGCGACGAAACATAATAATAATAATAATATATTATTATTATTATTATTGTTATTACTATTAATTACTATCATTGTCATTATTATTAATTACTATTATTAATTGTTACTATTAATTATTATTAATATTATTACTTTATTCTGTGCAAATTTCCGCACTGACAATCAGATTTGGTACAATTAAAAATTTCAACTATTTATCAATGATCATTTTGGAATTGTGAAAGTTCATTTAACATTTCGAAGTTTAAATTAATTATGTTTATGGATGGTATTGACTGTGTTAGTGCAAATAATCCTGCTTTTATGGATTTTGGGAAATGAAACCATTGCTCAAAGGCCATTAAATTCAGAAAGCGATTCTCCTCCCATTATCACTAAAAAGTCTGTTTCGGAAGTTTTTCGCTTTTACAATACAAAGTTTTGTTAATTAATTAAATAATTAATTGCTAAATTTGTTTATTTATTTAGTTATTCAGCTTATGCTAACTCAAATGCATATAAAATGCACATTTTTACTAATAATTAGCAGTGCAAAATTACTTATAGGAAAGATAAAACGTTGGATGAAATATTACGGGAGATGAGATCGAGACTGAACCTTAATGCTGTTGGTACCATCAACTAGATTATTGCACATATCTAACTTTATTTAATAGTATTCATAAAACACAGCTGAACGAACTATTTAAGATTAGAATTACTGCTTTTTATTGAATATCAGAAAGAACACTTTAATAATCTGCAGAATATTTAAAAATGTACGATCATTACATTGCTTAACGTTAAAAGAAGATTTTACTTTAAAAATGTTAACTCAATTATAAATTTTTTCATTAAAATGGTTTTAACGTTCCAAAAGTTATTGCGATTGTTATGACTTGATACTTCTACCTAGCAAATTTGGAAGTACGTGGCTAAATGTTTTCCACTTGCTAATGATTCATTTTAATTTAGGATGAACGAAAAAGAGTTGTAGAGGAAAATCGAATTCAGTTATCTGTGATATTAGGTGTGTGGGCAATTTTGTGTTTATTGTGGATTTCCTGCAACATGAAAATTTACTTGGGGTAATATTTTTAAATAATTTTATATATTCAAAAATCTTATCGAGATTGATAAAGAATACAGCAGGAAAAAGATAATTTTTCGAACCGTTGTTATATTAAGACTTCGAATAGATTAGTGCAAAAAAGTTAATCTGTTCTAGCCGTAAAAAAAATATTCGTCGACTGAAGAAACAGTACGAAGAAGTGATGTATGTTTCCCTTATTTCTTTGTAATTATTACGTCGTAATTACTTGATAAACTTATTTTAAATTACATAAACATATTTCTTTTTACGTACATTAAAGCATATTATTAACTGAAAATAATTCACAATTTGCAAATTTTATGTGATTAATAATAACTTTATATTTATTTCTTTATTTTAGTATATTAGCTATCAATTTCTGCAATTTTTGAGCATATCATTATTTATAATTCGAATAAAGAATTAATTTTTCATGTTTACAGCAACCAAATGCTTAAAGATAAAAAACAAGAATTGGAACATGAAATATTTGAAGAATCAAAAGAAAAGAAAAGACTTATGCGTAAATTAATAGAGGAAGATGAACAACATGTACACTATGAAAAGGGTTCAGGTAATTCATTCAAGGGCTTAACACATAGCCACTATTTATTTAACCTTTCAATTTATCACTTAAATGTACGTTATAGTAGGTACTGTGATTGATAAGTTTTAAATGTATATAAAGCACAACTATTTTTATTTTCTAAATTTCATCTTCATTTGCATCATAATTTAATTATATTTAATTTTCTTACAAACTATGTGAACGTTAAAGTCTCAAATTGCAGTTATTTAAGCTTTGAAATGAGCAGTAAAGCTATACTCTTCAAGTCGTTTTTGCTTAGAAATATGGAAAATTTCTTTTGCTTTGAAATATAATTTTTCTTCAATGCAATCAAATTTTGTAAAACTACTTTTTTGGTACTAAAATAAACTAAAAATTGAATGCAATAGCGATGACAAATTCCATTTTTTGGTACTGAAAATAAGCAATTAGTAATGATCTCCGTGTGGTTTAAAACTATTCATTTACTCAAATATGCATTCAAATATCTTTCTATCACTACAACTTATTAAATTAAGCACATTCTGACGTGAATTAGGCTTTCATGTCTAAATTACACTGACTGATTTAGGCATTTCGAAGCACTATGCAAATATATGGTAAACAAAAAGCTTGACTTAGTGAATTTGCTAATTTCCTTCGTTTTGAATTTACATGAACTGAAAATTAGCTCGTTCGCCGCAAATAAAATGTAGTTTCTAAGTAATAATAATAACAATAATAATAATAATAATTATTATTATTATTATTGTTATTATTATTAAATAAACGTTTCAACAGTTATGTCTGACTTTCGTAGTATCTTTCAATTAAAACTACAACTATGGGATATTTTAAGCCGATAGACATGATGATGGAGAAAAAACAGATTACGGAGCGGATGTAAGGAGCGGCTTTCAAAGTATTGCTCCTGATTATGAAGATAGAAATGTGCTTCATCAGAACGAAACAATAACTAAAACAGTGGAATAATTTGATAATTTGACCATGCAAAATAGATTTATTTATTTTTGTATCATTGTCTTTTTAATAAATGGACAAGTGAATGAATGAATAAGTAAAAATAAAATTGCTTGAAATGGAAGTGATGTATAAACTTCCAGAATCAGAAAAGAGTCCAAGAAAGCGACACAAAAGATTTGCAATCCGAACTACCTGAAAGAATAAAACAAATACGACAACGACGTATTGCTGGTGAATGCAATTCTAAAAAAACAGATTATGACTATATGTGGACTACAACGGATGATGGCAAACGTGATGAATCGAAAGTGGGCAATATTATGGAAGGTGGAGAACGTAGCGAGGTTTCAGAATTTGGACGAAAAGTTCGCTCAGGTTGTACTTTGTTACTTATTTTAGAAGTTACATTTGCTCAAGTTTCCTTATTTAGTCATAGAATATATGTTCTATGAACGAACTACCTCTTGTACTGGCTAAGTTTAATCATTGTAAATTAGATACAGATAAACACAATGCAAAAATTCAAATTTTTTCATTAGTAATGATATTATCTTTAACTGTAATTTGCTTGACCATTTAGAATCGACTACAGAAAACCCGAACTGTGTAGAAATTGAAAATACTGAAATCAATCCGCTTGCACTAAAAAATAAGCTTAAATCGAAGATTTAAATCAGTGTATTAAACGTAGCTGTTGTTAATGTTACATAACAAGTGTGAAATTTAAAGTTATTTCATTGTTTTGAAAATTATTCATAGAATGAAATTATCTCTGACGCACGAATTTCCAAAATGTTTGATAATCTGACTATTCTACAAAAAAAGTGTACTGCATACCATGTGAATAGAGTATTTCTACAGTAAATAAACTAAGAACAATAAAAGCATACGAGGAGAAAAAATTAAAACTTATAAGAGATAAAGTTTGTTTCTTTGGATCCAGCAGTAAGAAATGATTAGAAACTGAAAAGTAAAAATTTAAAATGATACTCATTTGCGAGGCTTAGGTGAATTAGTAATTTGAAGGGTATGAAGGAATTTTCATGATTTCCATCAGTACCAGAACAGACAGTCATAATCCATTTATTTCATTTCAAACTCATTAAAATACTTTCATTCCAATTTATGTTCATCTTTAAAATAAGCGTATAAATTCTGAGGTCATAGTGATTGACTGAAACAGTCTTACCTGTTTAAATAAAATTATATGATCATAAAACAATCGATTATTAGAATTATTTCTTTGGACGACAAAAGAGGATATAATTGAAAGCTAAGTGAGATCTACATGTGACGCTATCCCACACCAGCCATTTTTCAAGTTTAGCAGCAGAGACAATCTGCCTCAAACAAATCACTACAAACAGATTGACACCAAAAATATGTACCACTTGTAACTGTCGAACCGACTACAGATGTATTTAAAGTACTTTCGTCAAAAATTGTTAATTTTTTAAAGAACTGTAATTATTAGCAATTCACTGCTATTCAATGATTTTTTGCTCTTTGAAAGATAACATGATGAGACTATTATCAAGGGCATATTTTATTGATTTTATGAGTAACAGTGAAAAATATAACGGAATTAATCACGGAGTAGGCCACAAATTAACGACCAGGTGAACAAATTTCATAAAGAAATAATTAATCTCAAGTATGACTAGAATGAACATCCAAATCACAAATTAAAAGCACTCTGTACGAAGTAATTAAGACAAGAGTTACAGAATCTACTTTAGGCTACAAAACAAAGAAAAAAAGTTAAAACAAAGAAAAAGTAAATGCATATACTAGTTGAGTCGCGTTAACTAGCATAAAATATCAAATTATAAAATAGCCTGCATTCTTTGATAAATTTTGTAATCAGACAATTTGCATCTTTTGATGGGAACGACTTCTTATTGCAGCAGAAATTTAGCAGAAAATGTATTCACTTGCAAAAATGAAAAAAAAAAACAAATTATTTGAAGACATTTACATGTAGCATTTAAGTAGTCCATCTTATAAAATGTTGGTGAAACCCGCATTTACAATTATAACGCTGGTGCCCTACTTCCTAGAAATACTACATCTACAACATATATCTTAACCTACAATACTAAAAACAGTTAAATGACTGCACTCAAGATTTCCTGAAAGATATTTCTTTAAACTGAGATACTGTTTTCGGCATCATGAAATATATCAGAAAATTTTCAGAGTGAAAAGTATGATGACAGATTAATAAATTACATTCATTTCATTGCACTGAAAATTTGCGGAGTAAAGTCATTCGCCAAGAGACAAATACTGGCAGTAATAAATTATTTTGCAAAAAACAAATTCGCTTCAAGAACCAATCTGAAAATATACTCAAACTCAATCAAGTACACGTTAGCTGCACTAAGTGATAAAAAATTGCTGTATCAATTATAACAAAGATTAAAACACTCATTCACAATAAATTGCTTCTTTGCTTCTTGAAAATTGCATTGCCTTCAGTGTTCAATTCTTATCTATTATATCTCAGCACATATTTCATAACAGTTATGCACTCAATAAGGTTTTCCATTACTTACTTTACGCATTTTCTCTCGTATAGTTCTAATGAGCAAAGTTGTCTGGAAAATCAATTGATTCGCTGAGATCGAAACCTAAAAATTACTTGCAAAAAGTTAAGCAATACAAGCTAGACGAGGATTTCTAGAAGTCAACTATTTTATTATATTAGACCCATAAAAAGCGATAATACCTGCGTTGCATTCTGATCTTTGAAGTACTCTTTCAAGGTGTTACTAAATCGCTTTGAATAATGAACGAACTCTCGTTTTCTTTTCTCAACTGCTATAAATGAAAAATAGCTTGTCGCGTATATTTTAATTTGAAAACATAATTTTGTTAACTATGTTTCATTCTGTTATTTCAGTTAGATGAAAACTGCAGAAACAAATGAAGTGAAATTTACTGCAAAGCAAATTTTCACTAACAAAGTTGAGCACTTGGATGAACTATCTGCATTACTACATTTGTAGCATCCAGAAGTCTTTTGATAGATGAAGCTATTTCTTTTATTGTTTCTAGAAAGGTTCGTCGATCAAACATTTCTTCAGGTACACGAGCCAAAACTCGCCTTAAAGCAATCGCTCTGGAAAAAAGTTAGAATAGCCGTCATAAATACTTGAATTAAATTCATTCTCACACGCTACTATATCTGCATCAACGAGTTCAGTAAATAAAAACTAACCTTAATGAAAGTTCACGATATTGTAACTGATGCAAATTCGGTAATTCTAAATCTCCAGTAGGTGCTGTAGCTTGCATTCGCAAAAAAGCTTCCTTGAACGAATTTTTGTTTAGCATGCCGAGTAATAAAATAGGACACAACAAGTAGACTAGAAAGGGCTTATCTCTTATTTTCTTTACAGTTAATTTTAGGTCTATAAAATAAGACTCTCCTTTAAAAAAAACTGTTCCCCTAATATTTTAGAAGCAAATATAACTTCGATAAGTTAAAAGTAAAGATCATTAATCAGCAATATTAAATTAGGCTAATCCTGCTCGTTAAGTAAAAATAACAAGGCGCAAGAAATAAAAACTTTTTAAAATTTCCTTGCACAGATTTATAAGCATTATCTTTCAAAAAGCAAATAAAAACGTAATAGATGTAATAACAATACAGAAGAACATGCAAAAACTACCTGCAAATTTACATTTAAGTCTGAATCATATAACAGAACTTTCGTGAAATCGAAAAGAAAAGATGGTGAAGCGATATCAGCTTGTCTGAGGATACTTCGCAAGCGCTGAAAAAATGTAAGTGTTTAATGATTTTTCTTTACAATACAAAAGTTTTTCCAATAAAAAAAAATCTTTATTAAAACATCAACTTCTATAATTTGCATTTTCCTTCAAATGTCTCTGATAAAAATGTTCATGTCCATGTTTATTTATTTTACAGCACACACAAATACTTTAAAGACATAAATAATGTCTTATTGAAAAAGAAATTTTCTTACATGAAGGAAATGAACAGCTGCATTATCATTTCGATGGTTCTGAACAATGCGATCCAACACACCACTATACAAACATTGATAAGTCATTGCACCTAAATATCCTCCTTCTTCGTTCATCGCCATTTTCGTCTAGAAATTACAAAATATTCCAGTTGCATGCGATATAAATCAACCGCAACTAACCATAAACTACAAAAGTTGAATGCTTTTCAACTAATTTGTCTAGCTGAAATTTGTTTTACAATGAAACACAATGTATAGAATAATATTGTCAAACCGATATCATGACGAAAAAAAGAGAAATAAACGCAAAAAATTATGATAAAAACTAAATATGCTCAAAAAAAAGTTAAACAAATGACAATATAACGTTAATAAATTGAGCAGCTTATCAGTAACAAATATCAGCACTTCACAAAGTAAAGGTACATAAATGCAAAATTGGTGCCAGAGAGACTACGAAAACATTGCTAAAATTGGATGACAGTGAAAACTCAACAAAAAAAAGCTCAAACTTTTAAAATTGCATATAGGAATGCATACCACACGGTACATTGTAGATGCAGTCTAGCTTAATTTTATATCTGACTTCATGATTCATGTATGCGGCCAAAATACTGAAATTAAATAATATGTCAGAATCAAGCTAATCTTTTCAGTAACAGTTTTGTTCAATATTAAATCAAAAACTTGAGATGAGAAGATATGAAAGACTCTAAGGTTGCATTTTTGCCTTATAAACTTATTCATACTAATTCTAAATTAAAAAAAAAAAAAAAGAAAAAGAAAAAACAGAGAATAAAGCTACTGCATCAATATCTAGAGCAAAAATGAACTCTATTTCCATCAAGGCAATATCTGCCCTATATAAACAACATCACTACACTTACTGTTAGAAAAAAACTGCTAAAAAATAATGATTAGTTTATCGCATAGAACCGAGCGATCGACTCGATTAAATTTAACGCCCTATGACTCGTCGCGAAAACCTTTGTCCCGTGACTGTACTCCTGTATCATTTATTTCAGAAATTTGCATAAAATAGTAAAGTGCAATCTTTGGAATAAGAAGTAGCGCTTCTTAATTTCTCTAACTTATTAAAACTATAGACAAATATTTATCGATATGCAAATTTCGTGCACTTGTGTCCTTATAAAATGAAAATCTGGTGCCGGTTGTATACATTGTATTATACTCTGCTATTGTCAACCGGTTTAATTCGGGCGGAAAATGTCGCTTCTTATCCTGTTCCTTGTATTATGCGTCACTGCTGCAGTAGGCTACTTTATCGTCAAGGTCTGTGTCTAGATACATATAGAATTTTGTAATATATTTTTATTTATAGCCTTTTTTTTAATATTAACCTTTGACATATTAAAATTAGTAACTATGTGTCAGCATTACTACTTTAGTTCATCCTTATTTACCAAATTATTCACTTCCTTTTCAGAAAAAGAAAAATATCGTTGCTAGTGCTAGTAAATCGCGCGTAGGTTTTTTAAATTTCGTTTCACTGCTCTTTATTTTTAATTATTAAAGTGAACTATTGAAAAAATAGTTTATAATTTTGAAAAATTGTCATGATTATTATTGAGAAATTAATGCATTATGAGTAGCTACAAAGAATAACATTCAGGAGGAAGGAATTACTACTGCGAAAGCTGTGGATCCATTGTCTGAAAACAGTGTATGTCATTTGATAATGTTTATTTATTTCTGATTTCTGATAATCCATTTGATATTTGTTTTTTGCTTAGTTCTCAGTTGAATAGATGTTGAAAATTTTGTTTACTTGTCTACAACATTATTATAATTTAAGTGAGAAACAATAATAATATATTAATCAAACTTAACTTTTTATTACCCTTGTTTGCATCATTATTGAGACAAAATTTGTTGTTGGCTTCATTTCTTTCGTATACTTATATAGCAAATATAATTGAGTGTAGTTTTGTGCTAATCAAAACTAGTTTTTTTGCAAAGCTATACTCGTTAAAACTAGCAAATATCAATTTTTAGAAGTGAAAAAAAAAAGTTATAGAGTGGAAAGACCGCCGCTGGTATGGACACGTCGGGAAAAGAATTGGGTAAAAATGCTGGCAAAAAAAAGAAGAAAAGAAGCAGTAAAGGGAAGAAAATGAGGAAACAGTGATTTGGAAGTGAAGTAGTTAATTGGAGTGGTGACTTTTGTCCATCAAGAACGAGCATTACCAGCAGGTTCTGCGGATATGTATCAGTTCAACTCAGTACTATTCATAAATAAAGTGCTTCTGTTTTGCTTTCATATAATATGCACAATTTGAAATGAGGCAGAGATGAATAAATCCTTTTTTTTTTCTTAATATGTATGTACAAATTCATTTATTTCAACTTTGTTGGCATCTTTAAAATGATTATAAACAATAAAATTATCTTTCTATTTATTATCATTAATTTCTAAATTGTTGGTTATCTGAATAGTGCTCAAAATAGAGTTCTATTTCAAAAGTTTATAGCTGTTATGAAAAAAAAAAATCTCTGCAGACATGTTTTTTTTGCTTTTCCACAACTTATTTTGTTCTTTATAAAACAACTGAATCCTTTGTTAGCCTTTCAGTAAGTAATCATATTATGAAGTTTGCCACAATCTGATATGAGTAAAGTTTGATTTGTTGTTTGTTAGTTAGTTCAGCAAAACAATGCATAGTTTTATTTTACAAAATGATTACGAATCATATGGCAAGAATAGACTGAATACATAATACTAAAATGCTTTGTCATGCCATATGCCATATCCATTCAAGTTCGCAAAGATGATTGAAAAAGTTCTTCGCATGTAATTGGAGCTTCTAATTTCATCTGTGAAAGCAGTGTAATAAACGAATCAGTTCTAACTTATTGACTTCTCGGTTGTTGGTTGTTACGGAAGCTAAGCTTTGAGAAAGGTTGCAAGTGACTGTCCAAAGCTCAAATTAGAGAGTATAAGTGATTGATAAATAAAATGCATTATGTCAGAAAAAGTTATTACTGAGCATTTATGTTTTTTCAGCAAAAATTTGATGCTTTGCAACTGTTCACATGTGTAATCAAATGTTTAGTTGCATTCCAAAAATGATGGTCAAATCTTATCTTTCATAAATCACAGTTATAAGCTACACTTTTGAGATAAAAGTTAGTTAAAATATGATACTTACATTGCAAAGATTTCAGAAATCACAAATGGTACTTGCAGTCAGTGTAAGTGACACATATCATCGTTCACGTTTAAATTTTAGCAATTTTCTATGCATAAAAATAAAATCAAACTTTTAGTTAATTTAATTTCTTGATGATTATTGACATGATTGTCTATTTCCACTTGGCGTGGCTTCTAGTGCAAGAAAAGTTTTTAGAAATGCAAAGTTAATCAAGCCATTGTGCGATGAGTCGAGACTGGCCTCAGTGCAACTTATTACTGAGTGTGATCCTTTTTTATTCTTCATTTCTCGAAAGACAAACATCCTTTGCTTGCAAGTCAAGTTCACTTCAGTTAAACCAAAAGTTAAACTTAT